GATCTCAGGTTGGATCTGTCTATTTTTTCCACTTCTCACTCTTTCTTCTTCATTTTTTATATCTATAATCACTGGAATTTCCAGAAAATTCCTATTGAGTTCTACCAGCCTTTGGTGTAAATGCAACCTATAAGCTATGTCCGAAAATCAAGCCTATTACCGGAGACCCGACCAAAACTTGCACTTCATTTTATAGTTTGTCTGTATGATGTGCAGTCACATCATTTCAAGCAATCTTCAAGTAATTTATGCGTTTAAACAAATTATCTCTTCTTTTTCTGCTCAATCTGATTCAAGTGAAACTGAGCCATATCTATGCATGAGCGTATCGTGATTTGTTTCTTTTATTTTGCATACTTCTTGATAAACGCTGCTGCTTATTCAAATTGATTGAGGCAAAGCTAATTCTGAATGAAAGATTTCCACTCTTCGATTTAACACCTTTTCCTAAATCTCGCAACATCGTTCAATATGCGCTTCTTTCAGCCAAAGTCACGAGCTCATCTAGGCTTATTGGAGAAGAAAGTCGACTACAAAGCAAGAGCAAAGGATTATCAGGTATGGGAGCTTTAATTTTCTGTAACCAAGTACAGATTTATTTGTTTCAGCAAAAGCGAGACACTCTGAAAAAGTTGCACAAATATGCTATGGACAAAAACCAAGATGAGTACCATCATCACATGATAAATAGTGAAGTCAAGGTTAGTGCAGAAAGGAAATAAGTATCGCAGAAGAATATTTACGAAAAGTTAAGGAGGATGGAAGACACTTCGAAAAGAAGACTAAACAACAAGAGGAAGAATCAGAAGTGCAGAAGAAGCTTAGCGATATCAAAGATCTAGAATATGTGAAGTATAAATTATATGCAGAGAATAAGGTAACTTTTAAGATTTGATCTTTGGCAGGGAAAGGGAATTCACTAACTGTAGATTTCACTGCTATTTTCAGAAGATTGAAGAACTCAAAGCTGAATTACACTTTGCTGATCCAAGTTGCGGTTTGGGAGCAAGTAAACACACAATTTTTGTGGATGATGAGGAGGAAGGTATGAGGAATTACTCTCAACAAG